CTCCTGAGGGGTCCCAGACTGCGAGAGGGCACAGGCCGGGCTGAGGGACCCCCACTTCCCCCCGAGTGCACAAATTTTTGTGCACCGGGCCTCTAGTCTATATATATAAAAGGCTAATATGCAAAGTGTCCCCTTGGGAGCTTGACTGACTGGGAGTTTGATCGCTTGCTATGATGCACGCTGACCACCAGGGGACAGTGCGGAATGAAGGGAGGCCCCAGCTGGCCGCCAGCTGCCGCTAGGGACCCTACCCTTGCATGAATTTCATGCACTGGGCCTCTAGTCTATATATATAAAAGGCTATTATGCTAAGTGTCCCTCCTACCATCCGACCAGTCGCTATGATGTTCACTAACCACCAGCGGGCTGACGCTCAACGCAGGAGCTGCCTAGTTGCAGTGACTTGGCAATGAGAGTTCTCGGGTGACGTGACCCGAAACCAGAGAGGAGGGAGCCCGGTTCCTCATGGGGCTGCGTGATTCCACCTTTGGCCGTGGGCTATGTTGTTGCTGGGGCGCTGTCAGGCCCGAATCTGGTTACTGCACACTCGCGTTTGCGTTCCACACCCTGTACGACAGCAGCTTTGCAGAGTGTCCTCTTGCACCCGGGACCTCTCGGGGGATGTTGGAGAGCCCGTTTCAGCCCGATCCCTGCAGGCCATGCCGAAAGACCCCACCTGCTGGAGGGATCCCACTCACTCATCAGATGCCTTTCGAGCCACTGTGCCACCCCAGGTGCAGCCGGCCGGGGAGGGAAGGCGGGAGGTTGGCTCCAGGGCGTGTCCGCCCCACTGGCCATCTTCTAAGTAATTTCCATTCAATGTGCACGAATTCGTGCACCGGGTCACTAGTATCATATAAGCTATCCTTATGGTTAAATACATGCAACACAGTTCTGTTTTACTGTTTGATTTCCCAACTCTCGTTTCTATATTAGCTCTGAATCAGTTGCAATTGGTTGATTTTTTTACTCATTGAAGGTTCTATTTCCCTGTTTCTTTACGTGATTATTTTTTTTTCTAATTGCATGGGACATGTTCATGCTCAAAGATATTTGTTTTGTTT